CGAAGGGGTTCGAAACGGAAGAAGAGACGGCTTTTTTCTGCTGAACAAGTAAGACATTTCAATAGTTCAATCGTGTAACAGTACGTTTTCTTAATTCACACAGTTATGGAGTTTCCTTTGTTGTGCCTTTCTCGTTTTGCTATTATGGAGAATATGAATTCTGAACTACACAGGTAATCATAAAACACATTAAATAACGTTAGTCACGCAATGCTGATGTGATGTTGTTAACATGAACAATTTGAGAACAAAGTAGGCTATAATTTGCACGGTTGCTGTAAATCACGTTGATTAAATCTAACGATCGCTTATCATGTCGAATGCTTTTCCCCCCTTATCAGAACAAAAATGGATGTTATTTACTTGTTCAGAAGACATTTTCAGGTGAAAATTCTTATGTTGGTCAAGCTTTCAAAAAGTGAATCTGTGATTCTGTATGACAGTATCCACACCAACATGGCATCATGACTTTGCGTAAACATACACGCCACTTTCAATTCAAGTGGCGTGTTATCTATACGCATTTTGAGATATCCGCGTTTATGTCCACGCCGAAATCTTTTGCGTGTATGTCTACGCCATTAAATGTCCGAGTGATTCCGCGTGTATGTGTACGCCGTTAAATGTCAGAGCGAAACGAAGCAAAATCTATATCTACATCTGTGGAGCGATATTTCTTTTCCTAGGATGGTAGGAGAAGACTCATAAATGGTATTAACCCCAGTGACGGGTAGGTTTAGGGACGGGGTTGGGGTAGGTCATATATTATATATACATAATACAGTAATATAACGTTAAGTCAAAGGCGTTGATAAACACGCTGAAAAGCGATTATGCGTGTTGATAGCACGCCAAAAATGGAAATACGAATTGGTGTGTCATACATACGCCATTTCATGAGATCAGTCTGTCCACACAGCGCGGTGACTGACAGCAGCACTCGCCTCAAAGCACTGTGTTCATCCACGCTGTTTCATGCCGATTTACAACCCACGTAAAGATAATAATTCCGCGAATCACTGCAGCTACAGATTTCGAACAGAGATGGCGACAAAAAGGGAAAAAGCTACGGACTGCAGCTTTAAAGGAGCACTTCACCCATTTCAACATTAATCTTTATTGAAAGTGGGTCATATATGTAGTCGAAATGTAAAAGAAATTTTGAATTTGATGCCCTCTTGACCGAGAAAAGACAGAAAATAACTTTAGGGCGCATTTGTATGTAAGACAACAACTCCCACAATGCACCACATTGCACAAGTCCGCAAGCCACTCCCACTAATCCAGAACAGCGCAAACATCAGAGAAATCACTTTTCTGTCTACAAGGCTAACGTTAGCTGCCAAATGAGTTAGAAATTCATTTCACACAACATGTCTAGTTAGTTGGCTGTGGCGAGCAGGACGAGGGCGAGGGATGTGATAGGACAGCGCGAGGCCGGTGGCGCGAGTGATAATGAACGACAGCTGTGAGACGCACCGGTCTCTCACCGAGGAGCGGACGCATAAAACGAGGAGCGACGACAGGGCAGATCGAGAGAGGAACAGGCCTGATTTTATGTTGTGTTTTGTTTCTGTTGTGTGTGGCCAACAGTGAGGGGCTGCTCGCTTATATTTTTGTTTTGTATTTGTTTATTTTACTATTAAAATGTTTAAATGTTTGCCGGTTCCCGCCTCATTCTTCCCACAACAACGAACCCCGTTACATTGGCAAACTCATTAGTGAATTACTCCTCGTTTGTATTTCTTTCTATATGGTGAATTATTGCATGATGATGATACCTGGATGTTCAGTCAGAACATATGCGGTGCGAAACTTGGATGGATCACAACACAAACGTCCGTGTGCTCGTCTGATTCAGAGATTTCGTCCAGGAGAAATTGCGATCGTTGAAATTCTCTGCAGCAGACGGACTCTATCTGTGTCCGTAGCGCACAGCGAGAGCACAGGCACCAGCAGTCCGCCCAGCTCGAGCCAGTCCGGGCTCCTCGTCCGCCTCCTGTTCCTCCATCAGCCTCAGCTGCTCTTCACTATATTGCGGCTCGTAAAAATAGCCACGAACACCGGATTCGAGCAGCAGAATTTCAAAATCCTCTTCTTCCATATCATGTTTAGTTTCTTCCGTCATTGTCGTAGCTTCCTATATCCACAGCGCTTGTTAGCTCAGCTTCCAAACAAGATGGCGGATATTGCTTTCTGTATCTGTAAGTGATTCCCACCCACTGATCTGTAATAGGTCTGTCGCGTGAGTGGGTCCCACACCCTGAATAAATGATGTGCTTGCTTTTGTAGTCTCTACACTTTTCAATGAAATGGGACTTCCTGCTTTTTATGACGCAAAATGACGATTTTTACGTCATAAAAAGCAGGAAGTAAAACACTTAAATCCTTATTTCTCCCATCTCAGGGAAAAATAAAGGAAAAATCCACGATCATTATAATATATGACTGGGTTTCTAACAATACAAAGCTTAATGCAAATGGGTGAAGTGTCCCTTTAAAAATTCTCCTTAGTATTGTAAGAAAAAAAACAATTTGGTCTGGTCAAAAACAGCTCTGTTTTCAGCACGCCGTTTCAGTGCATATGCCTTTAAATGATAATGAGCTTTGCTCACTCCGGCCCTCTTTTCTGTGGGGCGTTTTGCACAACACGTGGAGTGTTGCCTTGACAACAGTTGAGGGAATATTTTGGAGTGGAAGTTGATTTATTTCAGTAATTCCATTCAAAAAATGAAACTTGGATATTACATTCATATAAATTATATTAATTACCGGCACCTCCTGTGTCACTATGGCAAATTAATAATTACTGTTTGTGTAAGGTTCAATGTTGTTATCTGTCTTGTTAGTCTTTATTCCCCATTGAAGTTCCACAAAAATCTTGTGTTTGCAGTTTCGATGCGTTTTTGAGGTGAATTTTCAGGGTAAAGTGGGTCTTTAAAATTCGAACACATTATTCTCTATGTACACACACCGGCAGCGCCATTCGGCGTTGTTAATGTAAAAACTGTCTGACTTCACCCTGTGCTGCATGCAATATACATTTAGTTTTACATTCATTTACAGAAATCAGTTGCTTGAATGAAAATTGCTGATGTTATCGGATTTTCAGGTGAGATTCTCAATTCATTCAGTTAACGGACACTCTGAGGTGAAGTGTTCAGAGTCTGCAGACTAGCAACGATTGTACAGTACAATCATAACATAATACAGACATTATCTTAATTCCATAATGTCCTTAAACATAACAATATTGCTGGCCATAAACTGAGAAAGTGCGCGTCTGATGTGCGATACCTTGAGTTGTTCTAGACGCAACGCGGCGCTTCTCGTCCGGTGTGCGACCCCCTTGCTGCTTGTGAAAAGTTTTTTTTTTTTTACATTTTGCACCCATGTAGTGCATGTTCTGAAATTAAAATAAACATTGCCCTGATACACACACAGTGTTGTTAAGGTTTTTTTTTTTGTCAAAAGCTACATAGCTTTTTTTTTTTTTTTTTTTGTTACCTCCAACCCCCATTTTGAGTCGCCGGATCCACCCCCCCTCTGCGCTCCGGGACCTCCCACTTTACAAATTAAGCACTGATTAAAACTGACAACTTATGAAAATATAGGGTTTAGGTCAGGCGAGTTTGCTGGTCAATTAAGAACAGGGATACCATGGTCCTTAAACCGGGTACTGGTAGCGCTGGCACTGTGTGCAGGTGCCAAGTTCTGTTGGAAAATTAAATCTGCATCTTCATAAAGTTGGTCCGCAGCAGAAGCATGAAGTGCTCTAAAGCTTCCTGGTAGACGGCTGCGTTAACCTTGGACCTCAGAAAACACAGTGGTCCAACCAGACTGATCTCATGAAATGGCGTATGTATGAGACGCCAATTCGTATTTGCATTTTTGGCGTGCTATCAACACGAATAATCGCTTTTCAGCGTGTTTATCAACGCCGTTGACTTAACGTTACATTAATACTGTATATATAAATATATGACCTAACCCAACCCCGTCCCTAAACCTACCCGTCACTGGGGTTAATACCATTTATGAGTCTTCCCCTACCATCCTAGGAAAAGAAATATCGCTCCACAGATGTAGATCTACATTTTGCTTTGTTTCGCTCGGACATTTAACGTCGTGTACATACACGCGGAATCACTCGGACATTTAACGGCGTAGACATACACGCGGAATCACTCGGACATTTAACGGCGTACACATACACGCGGAATCACTCGGACATTTAACGGCGTACACATACACGCGGAATCACTCGGACATTTAACGGCGTAGACATACACGCGGAATCACTCGGACATTTAACGGCGTACACATACACGCGGAATCACTCGGACATTTAACGGCGTACACATACACGCGGAATCACTCGGACATTTAACGGCGTACACATACACGCGGAATCACTCGGACATTTAACGGCGTACACATACACGCGGAATCACTCGGACATTTAACGGCGTACACATACACGCGGAATCACTCGGACATTTAACGGCGTACACATACACGCGGAATCACTCGGACATTTAACGGCGTACACATACACGCGGAATCACTCGGACATTTAACGGCGTAGACATACACGCGGAATCACTCGGACATTTAACGGCGTAGACATACACGCGGAATCACTCGGACATTTAACGGCGTACACATACACGCGGAATCACTCGGACATTTAACGGCGTACACATACACGCGGAATCACTCGGACATTTAACGGCGTAGACATACACGCGGAATCACTCGGACATTTAACGGCGTACACATACACGCGGAATCACTCGGACATTTAACGGCGTAGACATACACGCGGAATCACTCGGACATTTAACGGCGTACACATACATGCGGAATCACTCGGACATTTAACGGCGTAGACATACATGCGGAATCACTCGGACATTTAACGGCGTAGACATACACGCCGTTAAATGTCGGCGTGTTCGTTTCGGCGTGGACATAATATCCCACTCTCTCTCTTTCAGGAGTTCATGCGTATCAGAGGATGTATGGCTGTGATTGGGATGATGAGACTGGAGACTCACATGGGTTTGATCAGTACGGTTATGATGGAGAAGATTTCATCTCACTGGACCTGAAGGAGAACAGATACATCTCACCTGTACCACAGGGAATACCCACAGTGATGAAGTGGAATAATGACAGAGAACAGCTTGAAACCTTACAACAATACTTTGGACATGAGTGTGTTTACTGGCTGAAGGAGCTCTTACATTTGTCTAAAGCTACTTTTAAGAAAACAGGTACAGTATCAGAGGACAGACCGATCATTTCTTTCTTGCATGAGCAGATCCAGATAAACCATGTTTTATCAGACAGCTTGATAAATCTATGCAGGTCAACTTTAGAGATTGTTAAACTGTGACAAGTATAAAGTGCATGTGTTTCTTTCTCTGTTCTCAGTTTTGTTCCCTGTTCTGTGTTTACTTCTAGAGCCTAAAGTGTCTCTGCTGCAGAAGAACCTTGCAGAAGATGTGGAGTGTCACGTCACAGGCTTTCTCTTCAAAAACGCAAGCATCTTGTGGAGAAAAAATGGACAAGCTATGAGCGATTCCAGTAAACTGGAGTCTAGAGACACACTTCCAAATGAGGACGGGACCTTCCAGAGGACTGTTGCCCTGTATGTCCTTCCTAACAAATGGAAGAAGGACCGGTACACCTGTGTGGTCGAGCACAAGAGTTTGACTGAGACAATCCAGAAGATTCTGACTGAGGATCAGATCAAGAGGAACAGTGAGTTTAAACATGGTTAATTTTTCTACCTGTACATTTTACTTATTTTAGCGGCAAAACACTGACAATGAGAACAGCGTCACTTTTTTCTGTTTTTAGGTTTGTTTTGTTGTTGTTTGGGGTTTTCTGACATATTATTCATTATGTTTCTCTGTGTGTTCTAGAACCTGCATCATATATCAAGTATCCGGCTCTAGTCATTATCCCAGTTAGTGTTGGACTGATTGTGCTGTGTGTACATTTGAAACTCTGGAAGAAACTGAAAGCTTGTAAGTAGTAATGACCTGTTGTGAGATATAATTCCCATCATAAGTGCAAATGTTTTACATGTGTTTCTGTGTGTGGCGATACAATGAAGAAGAGTGCAGTGAATGTGAACCTGTTGCTGTTTAGTGTGTGTGTGTGTGTGTGTGTGTGTGTGAGGAATCAAATGTGAATCCCTTGATAGTGTTCTTTAAACTTCATTGAAGCATATTACACCTCCATTTATCTCTCTTCACAGGCTACAAGAAGACCAACAATGGCAAAACTAAACCCTCGCAAGAACATGCACCGGATCAGGACTCTCCTCTCTCCACTCCCTCTAATGAAAGTTCGTCCCCTTCAGAAGTCAGTGATCTGTTAGTGAGCGGCTCCTCACGGTCCCTTCACAGAGATGAATAAAATCACTCTCCAGAACCTTCACCAACGACAACCGGGACCTTTTATGAAGACCAAGAAACAGCTAAAGACCTTTAAAGACTCTTCTCCACGAGCATTCAACTAATCGTCTTTATACTTTTACGTTTTCTTCCATCTCTAATCTTGAAATATTAGCTTTTCTTTTAGAATAAATCACTCTAGCTGATTTTCCACCATTGGGCCAAACCGTTCTCTTTGCTTGACCGTTCCAGCCAGTACGGATATGATTTCATTTTCCACTGGTGATGATAACAGAGCTCTTTACAAATAAACAATGCGTCAGTCGTTAACGCAGTTTGGCCTGAGAACGGTTTGAAATCGTGCCATCTCAAGTGGAAATACAACGTAAGCATTTCTTTCCGTTCTTATAACCGTTCAGCCCGACGATGGAAAAGCTTCTTATTTTGTTTTCCTCATTTGTTGCTTTGAATTTTGCCAAACGTATGCCTTTTTTTAGGACTGTCAATAGATTAAAATAATTAATATTGATTAACTACAAAACAATTATTAAAAAATTGAATTAGCTGAGATTTGCCACTAAATAACAATAAGTTAAGATATGAGCCAATACCATTTTTATCAGAGTACATTTTCTCAATCAGACGTTTATGCACATATTGAATATATGTAATTATTTGTAAGTACTATATATGTGCCTTGTTTCCTGTGGAAATATATGTATATATTTCTTTCTGTGTTCTGGAGTCAATGATCAGTTTAAATTTCCTCAGTCTGAGGATTTCTTATTGAAAAGTACTTGTTGATCTTGATTTAACCCTCTGGGGACCAGAGTGTTTTTGGGGCCCTTGGGATGTTTTGACATGCACTGACATTTGTGCTTTTTTCAGTTATTTATAAACATGTTAATGGCAAAGGTGTAAATTCACTCACTCTATAGCACAAACTTGGCTACCATGATATCTGTGCAACATGTATGTACATGTTTGTATTTTTAATAGAATAATGTTTATGCGTGGTTATTGAAAAAAATAAAAATGAAAGTTGCTGAAATAAGACCACAAAACACATATTGATTATTTCTTCACAAGACTTTTGAAAATTGTATCACATAGCCTAGAATATTTGCTCCAAAACTATGTGAGAATCATCCTGACTACTCATTCAGATAAGTCAATAAAGTCTTTTACATTTTTAATGACGTGTTTTGTTTGAGAAAGCTTTATGCAGGAGGCTTGATCTCTCATTAATATGTGTGGCATTCCACACCTGAGAAAGACAAAGACCCTCCCCATAATGGCCCTATTAGGTGCTATCAGGCCCTATCATTACAGGAGCCTTGCACAAAGAATGAGGAGATTTAAAAAAGAATGGCTTTTAGATTGTTTGGATTTATATAAGGAAAATACAGGGTGCATACGTCTGGACACTTCTATCACACACCCTTCACCATATAGACATGGTTTTATTTCAGTTCAAAGTTCAAAGTTAGAGTTGGAAACATCTTGAAAATAAAATTGTCTTTCTCCATAAATGTCTTAGTTTGATCATACATATTTCAAAGTTGAGGATTCATTATTTTGATATAGCTTGAACAAACACTATAACATCTTAGTTGATTGGTTTATTGACAAAACATACTATATATTTAACATATGAGCAGAAACTCGTAAAAAAAAGCTTATTTGATGTCTATTTTAGAGTAAAAACTTTATCCAAAACGAGTCAACGAAATGTTGTCTGTTATTTAGTCTGTAACAGTGCGTATCTGTGCGTTCATTCATTCATTCATTCATTCATTCACACACACACACACACACACACACACACACACACACAAACATGATTCACATTTTAAACAGTATGATATTTTTCCGTTTACAGACACTAACGTTATTCTATATCGCGATTAGAACAAAGCACTTGCAAAAAACACTTACTTCTCAGCTGAATCTGTTCATCCTCGCAGTGAAAATAAACCCAGTGGTAAATGTCCCAGGATTGTTCCTCATATAGCCGCGCAAGACGACAGTAGATTAATCTGACTAAAAAATAATGTGTGTTTTCAGAGTTTATGGGCGTTAACGCATCTCAATGTGTTGCTTCACATATTTGCGTTTGAATAGCGCGTGCTCTCCGTGGGCGTGTCACATTACCAGAGATAATCAGCTGAGAGAACGATAATGAGACGGGCTGACACGTCTCTCCTTTTATATAGATGACATAAACGGAGAATATTAATTTTAGTTTTGAATCGGATCATTTAAAAGTACAAACTCAAATGATTTAAAAGATATATTGCTTATGGCTGGGTGAATAGTATTAGCTGAGTTGTGTTGAAGATTAGAGACGTGCTCCAGAAAAAAAGTTCACGGTGACTGAGAGGCAGAAGGCACACCCTGTTTATTTTCTTTATTTTACAAAAGCACAATATTTTATTTCGATTGTATGTGGGCACATAAAAAAGTAGACATTTACCAGATTATTTTTTCATATTTCTTAACTCTATTTGAACAGAAATGATGGTAGTACTTTAAGTCTATTTTTCTGCTATGTGAAAAAAAACAAGCAAAACGCGCCGGCGCGTTTCTGGTCCCCAGAGGGCTAAAGGAGCATTGCGGAAGTTCTGAAATTTCTATCCGTTACTGACACCAGTGGCCGTTAGAGAAACTGCAGCCAGTATCATGCTCATTCTCGGTGCACACACTCGTTGGCCGCACTAGATAAGGCTTTTTTTTTTTTTTACTTACGAGGAGTTTCCGTGGGTGTCTGGATTGTGCTGGAGGCTGGTCGCTTCTTTCCGTCCGCAGAGTCCATTTGAAACACTACTGCTAGCGATTGCCGCTGCTTACTAATGGCTGCCGTACGGATGTAAGCCCAAGTAGACGAGAACGCGCATGACGTCACATTTTGTGAATTTTCACGCCAATTCGGACCCGAATCCTCCACACACAATTGAGCCTACAGGCTGATAGAGGCAACCGTGGTGGACAGTCAAGGTGTCATTCTTTCTATTACATTATGGTTGGCTCATAAATGTACAACTGAAGACTATCTTAAAGATTTTTTTTACGTAAAAACCTACACATAGCCCCTTTAACAACAAAATTGATGACGGCCTGTGATCAATCAACATATATTCACATTTTGTTTCATCCTGTTTGTACATTTTTTTTATCTTTTTTCCCTCATTTTGTGCTATATTAAATAATAAACTCCTATGCTGTTCTCATTGTGTTCAGTGTCTGCCATTAATCTATACATAATAGTTTTAATAGAGATCACTTAATAGAAATTCGGACTAAATGTGTTTCATGGATTATGATTCGCAGATTTTTACTCATACTGTCACGGTTCATGAATCCACTGTCTCTCTCTCGTCTCGTGTGTGTGTCTGTGTGTGTGTGTGTCTGTGGGCGTGGTCACTGATCACTCCTGATCAGCAGCTCCAGCCGGTACCAATTGTTTGTCCCTTTATATGTTCAGTGACTGGTGTCTCATGTTGTCAGATCGTTGTGGTTCCCCGGTGTGTTTCCTGTTCCCGTGCTGTGCGTCTGGATTGTGGATTACTTCTTGTTCTTCGTTGTGTCGTTCATCTGGATTCCCGCACTACTGCACTGGATCACCGAGCACCATCACCGGTTGTCTATCGAGGTCCCTGCGCCACCTAACATCTGTGTTGTGTTCGCCTGACCGGCCTCTGTTATCACCAGCTTTTAATAAAAGCATTACTTGCAATTGCATCCTGATCCTTTCTTTGTTACAGAAAGATCTGACCACATTATGGATGCAGCAAGCTCTATGAATTGGGACGATTTTGCTTCTCGCAGTATCGCAAGGATGGACCAACAAGAGGAGAGCATCTCCAACACAGGTCGGGCAGTCCAAGCTCTTGTGGCGCAGGTGTCCGAGCTCACCCAACAACTACAACATCTGAAGGGTCCAGCTGCGCCACCCACACCGTCCGTTCAGCCCATTCCACCAGAGTCGGACTATCAGCGCAAGCCATGCTTATCCACACCTGAAGGATATTCAGGTGAGCCCGAATATTGCAGAACATTCCTTACCCGATGCTCGATGCATTTTTCGTTACAGCTGCAGACATTCATGTTCTTACGCTACTGTCGGGCAAGGCGGCTCTTTGGGGAACGGCGGTGTGGGAGAACCAGGATCCATGCTGCACCTCGTTCCAGGCACTCTCCGAAGAGATGAGGATGGTCTTCGATCATGGGGTGGCGGGTAGGGAGGCGGCCAGACTACTCGCCGATCTCCGCCAGGGAGATCGTTCGGTGTCGGAATATTACATCCAGTTCCGCACCCTGGCCGCAGAGTGCCAATGGAACGAGGAGGCGCAGTGGGACAGATTCCTGAATGGGTTGGCTGACCGTGTCCAGAGGGAGATTTACATGCTGGA